TTGTTGTTTTTTTATCCTCTACTGAAGTGACAGAAATTTGTGCTAACTTTTTGTTTCCATTTATTTATTAATGTTTTCTTTGGTTTTAGGTCCTGCTCCTTCTGTTTTGGAGTATCTATCTGAGAAAGATAGAGAAAGACTGAAAGAAGTGAGAAAAGCTGCAGAACAACAAATGAAAGTGAAAATGTTGCCTCAACAATCGCAAAGCAGCAGATTTCAACCTGCCTCAGCAAAGGATGCTCCTCACAAGTGGCAGATGTTTTGGGCTGGTCAGTTAGCAAATGCAGGTTCTAGTGACTTCAAACCTTTTGCAAAAAATCCAGAAAAACAGAAAAGATATGAAAGCTTTGTGCAGAGTATTAAACAAGGGCAAAAAGGTAATTAAGAAGATGACTCCTCACATTTTTAACCTTTAACTTCTAGAAAAGAAATCTTTTTTATTTCCTCTTTTTTTTCTATTTCATTTCATTCTATTTCATGTTCAGTATGATTAGTCCTCTTGAAAATATCTCATGTTTAGCAAATATTATCATTTTTGTTTTGAAAAAATGCCTCCACTTATCAGGAAATAATAATAATTGTATGTAAATTAAATAGTTTGATGATTAAATCTTGGTGATTTGTATCTGCTTGGCACTTAAGTAAACTTTAAGCTCTGCTAAGCATTTCTCTCCTTAACTTACAGTAGATACATTGGAGCATTGTTTAGACCCGAATATGACAGAATGGGAACGAGGAAGAGAACAAGAGGAGTTTTTTCGTGCAGCGATGTTCTACAAGTCATCAAACTCAGTGCTGTCATCCAGGTTTACTCGGGCCAAATATGAAGATGATGTTGATAAAGTGGAAGTTCCTCGGGACCAAGAGGTGCATTTGCTGTTACAGTTTTTCTGGAACTACAGTTGCTGCTTTAATTCTGAGTTTTGGAATCTTTTTTTCTTAAAAATATCTTTGGAGTAATGTGAATAATGTTTTATTTCTCTTCTGTCTGGTAAACCTTAGAAGAAGCTGCTTGCATACAAAAACATAGATTTATGTTAAATGGCTTTTTCTCAGTATTGCAAGAGTAATATTCAATTCAGAAAGTTGCTATTCATCTCATGATATAAATGTTTGACTTTTTTCAGAATGATATTGATGACAAGGAATCTGCTGTGAAGATGAAGATGTTTGGCAAACTCACAAGAGACAAGTTTGAATGGCATCCTGAGAAGTTATTGTGTAAAAGATTTAACGTTCCTGATCCATACCCCGAGTAAGATAATTGATTGAAAGAAAGTGATTTTTTTTAAGAAGTGTTTAAAACTGTTGGAAATTTCAAAAATGTTTAAATATTTGTTGAAAACTTGGTTTGGGGAGTATGTGTATGTATTTTTTAATAACAGATATAGTAAGTGCCTGATAATGCTTTAATTGGCTTTGTTAAACGGTAAAATGACCACTGTCAAAATAGTATATGTGTTTAGGTTTGCTTTAGGGGGTTGATTATTGTGGAGGCCTTTTTTTTTTATTTATTTTTTTCCTGTAGAAACAATAATCAACAAACATTTTTTTCCTCTAGTTCTTCCATTGTTGGTTTACCAAAAGTGAAACGAGACAAGTATTCTGTGTTCAATTTCCTAACCCTGACTGAGCCCACCACGTCTGTAACTCAAGCAACAAATGAAGGAAATCAACAGAGTAACACACGCGACAGTAAGTTGTCATTACTTTATTCATCTAACTGGAAGAGTTAATTCGTTCTGCATGACAAAGCCTACAGTATTTTCTGTTCCATTATTTGCCTGATTTCTAATTTAAAATGACAAAAAAATTAAAAGTAAATTCAGTAACATAAAATGGAAGTCCATAAGATTTAGCTAACTTCTCCCTAAAATATCAATTAGTTTAGCTCTTCAGTTAAAAGGATTTTAAGAAGTGTCTAACCATACTGAAGAAGAAGAGTAACTTAAAATCATCCTCAGATTACAAAATGCAGCATAATGTAGTCTGTAACTGATTTCAGTGTTTGCAAATTTTTTAGAACCAAAGAAACCTTCAAGATGGGATGTTTCAGATAAAGAGAAAGAGAAGAAAGATTCTATCAGTGAATTCATTAGTCTTGCTAGGTCAAAAGTTGATGCTCAGCAGCAGCCACCAGCACCGAAAACAGAAGAATGCACAACTGAGGCAAATGAAACTCCTCCCAGTGAGGTGAGTGCAAAGCTGTGTTTGAACTTGAAGGGGAATGGCTGCACATTTTGCTAACCTTGAACTAACGGTAGGCAGCGTATGAACTGAGTTAATAGAGAGTGGTTTACAGGAGGATCAACTCAGAATGAGCAATAAGAAGGTGGAATTTGGTCTTAAGAATTAGCCCCTTTGTAACTGTGAGGTGGACCAGTATAACTGGAAGGAACAGCTTGAGGAAAGATAAAACGTAACTTGGCACTCTGGCAATTAATTCAGTCTCTTAGAGTCACTGAGCTCACAGACACAGAATATTTTCCTTTTTCTTTTGTTCCTCCTAAATGGAGGAGAGTGTATACTATGTGGAGAAGGATGATTTTTTCTTAATGTATTTTTTTGAATATTACTTGTATTTTTTTGAATATTACTTACATTGTTTTGCAGACAACTAATGAAGATAAGGATCAGGAAGAAGAAAGCAGACCATCCATGGACTTATTTAAGGCCATCTTTGTGAGTTCCTCAGATGAGAAATCATCTTCCTCTGAGGAAGAAAGTGACGAAGAGCCAGAACCAACTGTTCCTGCAACAAATCCAGAAACTGCTAAGCAGGCGGATATACCAGACAGTTCCTCATCTAATATGCAAGGTAATACTTAATGGATGTTTGTTTTCATATCTGTAAAAATATCTTTAAAAAGTTTTTATTTGTAAGGCAAGAATAGTTTTATCAGGAGTTCAAGCACTGTCAGACTAGCAGGGCCACCAGCACTGAATATTCCTAGCACTTTGCAGCATTGTTTATGTTGCTAAGAGTGTTGTGTGGCTTCTGCAAACAAGCTACCCAATTAAATTTGCTAATTAAACTGGGATGGAGAACAACACATGTAATGATGAAACACTACCAAAAAAAAATTGTAGTGCTTTGTAGAACTTCCTTCAGCATTTCTTGGAAGAAGTGTTACCTTATTTTCCTTTCAAATAAAGAAGGCTTTTTAATTTGATAGCAAATGTGGCTACTACAACTGAGCCTAGCCTGCCTTTGCTGCCTGTTTTGAAGAAGGAACCGGATGTGGGAGAGGAATTTGGACCAAGGTTGCCTCCAGCTTTCTCTTCTGGTAGGTCTTGCAGACTTTCAGTGCTTAAGTACTGTATGTTGAAGGTGTATGCAAGATACATGATATTTTTCTTAAAAAAAAACATTTGTTAACACTTCTTAACCACTGATGCTGTGTTAAATTGGCACTGGAAAGTGCTTTGTTCCAATATTGAGATCTACTGACAGGGACTTCTGCCTGTGTAACAACTTGGTTGTAGCTCTACAGTGGCACTGTTATTAAACTGTCACGCTGTAGAACCATCACTGCATTTTATTTAAATATATGTAGCAAAGTTTTTAATTGAAATAGGAAAGTTATGATTGGAAGATTTAGTCATTCTGCTTCCATTTGAAGGCTAAGATTTTTAAAACTCTTTATTGGTTTGATATTTATATGAAATTTAGTGTTATAGTTACCTTTATTTTGTCATGTTTTTAGTTTCTGCATTTGCTTTATGTTTTAGGCACTGTTCACCAACAAGGACCTGTAGTGCCACCAAGTTTTACCAGACCTAGTAAGAAGGAAAAACACAAAAAGAACAGAGAAAAACACAGGACTAAGAGAGACCACAAGCATAAAAAGGAAAAGGTATGTTGGATTCATATGTTGAATGTGTAGTATATTCTGAAAACTGAATGTAATTTGGGCCATGTAGATATACAAACAATAATAAGCTCTGTGTCATTTTTTAGTGTGTCAGTTAAGCTTGGAGTTTACAGTAATATTAATTGTCTTTTCAGGACTCATTTCATTTTGGTGCTGTTGCCTTTCAGAATTTCCCATATCTTTCAAAAAAAATATAATAAAGAATTCTTTCTTTTTTTTTTTTTTTACAGAAAAAGAAACAGAAGAAGCACAAAACCAAAGGAAAGCATAGGAATAAAAAATCAGAAAAAGAGAGCAGCTCAGATTCTGAAGACAGCAGTGACAGCTCTAGTGATATAGATACCACAGGCTTGTCACCCAAAGAGCTTCTAAGAAGGTAAACAGAAAATTTACTGAAGAACTGTAAAATTTTACAGTGGTTAACTGGTTTTTTTCCATCACTGAGATAAAATGTGGTTACCCATACTAAGGCCTAAGAAATGCTAAAGTAAATATTTGTGATTTTTTCAGCAACTTTTCAGTCTGACCTTTTTTCTTTTTGTTTTCCTCTTAGACTGAGACAACTTCAGCCCTGAAGAGGTAGCTCACTTTCCTCAGTGACCTGTGACTTTATCTCGAAATTTTGATCTCCTCCATGATGGTAGATCAATAATGTATTGTGTACTTTAAAGTGCTGTAGATACTGTATTCATATTGAATTTGTTGGCAGGTACTAAAATATTTCTTTGTTTTGTGATGCTTCATAAATTCAAAATTTATGGATTATGGAATGTTGGAAAGACGTTTTGTGCGGTATACTCTAAAATACTGCAGGCTCTGTTTTGATTAAATTAAACTTAGGTTATTTTAATAAACTAAGTATTACCAATCACTTCTGGTGCAGTAAGTCATTGACTAAGAGATCTAAAAAGCTGATTGAAGTAGGTTGTTTTTCTGAATGGTGTTAGGAAGTTGAAAGCTAAATCAGTGTAGACATGAATTCGCTTCCAGAGGGCCCTGTGAGCTCCTGGGGCCTGGCTGCGGGGGAGCGGCCCTTGCCCTGGCCGCGCTGCGGAGTGGAGCCGCTGCCAGGGCTGCCCCGGGCCGGGGGCAGTGCCGAGGCCTGTGCCAGGGCCAGCAGAGCCGATGGCAGCCGGTGACCCCCGCGGGGATCCCTTAGCCCTGGGGCCGGAGCCGGAGCCCGCGGCCTCCGCTGCCCAGAGCCGCTGGGGCGACCAGGAGCCGGCAGCAGAGGTGGGCGGCGACGCCAGCGCGGCCTGTGGCAGCCCAGCCACACCGACATCTTTCTTGTTTTTCTCTGTTCCTGGTGTTTCTGTGTGTGTTGGGGGGGGGGGGGGGGCGGCTGTGGGGAGATGGGGTGAAGAGCTCCTCCTTGCCCCACACGAGCAGTGGGGCGCGGGTGCCTCCGTTTCTGCAGCGCTGGGGTTTCCATGCCAGATGTGTATTCTGGACAGGACTGTGCGGGCGTTGCTGTTAATATGGAAAAGCCTTTAAAAAGTAACTATTTTGACAAAATATGAAGTGCAGGGATCCTGCCTAAAGATTATAACCCCAATCTTTAAAGTACTGACACGCAGTGAGCCAAGAGCTAGCCACAAAATGTAACACGGATTTCTTGAAAGATGTGAGGGACATGAATGAGGTTTAAATCTTACTTTGCTCTTGCAAAGTAAGAATTGAGGAGCCAGTGGGGAAACAAAGCCTGGAACAACTGCTTCCCATCAGAAAATCAGACTTCGCAAACCTTTCTTTCTGAAGGTAGCCTAGTGGCCATTTGCCTTATGGGCTTCAGTCTGGCACCAGAACTGCTGCCCTCACTTCTGTGTGGATTAGTGCTTTCCTGCTCCCCCTTGTGGAGCCAACTGTCAAAAACTAATTGCAAGGAAAAAATACTTGAAAAACTGTTTTGTTCATTTACAGATCCAATTTAAAATCCTAAGAGGACACAGCGATACTGTGAGCTCCTGCCATTTTTGCTTTGAAGACACAAAAATACTTTCATGCTCTTACGATAAAACTTTGAAGCTCTGGGTATGTTACAAATGCAGCAAAGATGCTTTCCAAATCTAGGATAACTTAAAGCTGAAGTCAAGCAAGTAATATAAGTAATATCACAGAGGGATGGAGAGTGACTGATTCACTTAGAGGCCCTTTAAAGATAACTTAAATGTGTTTAAAAATATCAACCATAAAGCTTTTAAATTACCATGTTAAAATAATCTATTTTGTACTTTTTAACATTCTTCAATATTAAACCAGCCTAGTTTGCTTTTCTACAGAAACAGCTGGAGTCATGGGAATTCAGGGGAGCGCAGTCTTGGCCACAGGGGCTTGCAACAGCCCTGACAATTTCACTCTGGAGTTTCATTTTTTCCCTTGCAATAGAAGGTATCAAATGATTGAGGGTAATGAGAAAGCATTTGAAGTAACTCTCGAGAACATGAAGTATATCACTCATAGTACACACACATCCTGTAGAAAATAAAGGTTAGTAAGTGGCGTGGTAGACACGGTAAGACTCGAAGTGCAATTCTAACTGTCAGGCACTCTGACTCAGAAAAACAGAACACGAACATATGGTAAGTTTGATCTATCTTTTTTTACTTCTATTATAGAGATATACCTGTTTTTAATGTCAATTATTAGACTCCTAGGGTATTGACACATATTCAGAAAATAAGGGAAAAAGTGAAAAAATAATTGACTTCAGTTTTCTGCATTGCTGAGAGCTGCCACCTTGACAGGATAGCTCCCTCAAATGGAAGTCCCTGTGAAGAAGCAACTGCTTTAGAGCTTAGGTTTTACAGCTTGTCTTAAAAGTAGGAGGAGGAGACAGAGATGCAAAATTTTCTTCACATCTTGAAAACAAATGAAAGAAAACATAGGTGAAGGCAGTTACCTGCAGACAGAATCTGAAACCTCTTACGTACTTATTTTAGCAAAGAGCTAATTGAAATAATTGGAGCAATCACAGGGGATTATTTACCTGGATGAAGGTCTGATCCTTTATATGGTAGGATGGATAATCCTGTGATATTTTGATCTTCGCGTTATTCTACGTGTCAACAGCTCTCTTTGTTTTCTGTTTATATATTCATGCACTGTGATCCGTTTGTGAAACTTGATCTATTTTTGTTTGTGTTACTGCAGAATCTTGAGGCTTTAATCATATATGCTGGGACTGCACTATACTTGGGACTTTATATAAATGTAGAAAAAAAATGGCTATATCCTGCAAGCACTTACAACTCCGTGTGACAGACAACAGATAGATAGTAACAGGAGGGAGATAAGAGTGCTCGGGGTGCGATAGATCAAGATCTGTGTTTCACTTAAGTCAGTCTCAAGATGATGATGATGATGAGATTTTTACATCAGTAGAAGGAACTAAGTAGAGAGGTAGATCTGTGAGTTGTCAGTATGAGGCAGGCATATATGCTTGTGTTTGAATAGGAAAGGCTGTGCAGAAGTGAGACATAGCAAATAAGACATGGGAATTATAGACAGGCTGCGTGAAATGGGCAAATAAATTTAGAGGAGAGGATTTGTTGTGGGAGAAGCCACCCTGATCATAGGAGTTTCACTTGAGTTGCAAAATCAGGATAGGACTAGACATGACAATTGCTGGATGTGAGCTAGAACTCATCTCTACTTCCCTTATCTATTATTGCTTCTGTAATCTTTGTAGTTTCAATCTTCATCTGTGTTGCAGTAAGACAAAGGTCAGTTAAGGAGGTCTGGTTAGTTTTGTAGAACCAATACAAAGTTTTGACATGGACACCCAGTCACAGCTGGTGCAGAAGCAGGTGGGGACAAGCAAGGAGGGAAATCCCAGCAAGCAGCTGGTCTGATGGCCTTGGTGAGCGTCATCATCAGTGTTTGTGACTGATTTGGGGGAGATGCAATTTTGCAAGAGCCAATTTTCATTTATATTTTCAGATTAGATGATATTGATGAGACTAACTTCGCAGGTAACTTCATTTTTGTGGAGCTTTGGGGTTTTTTTTTTTAATAGAATAGCAGAATATTTCCTAATGAAATTCCTCTGGATTTGTTTAAGGATGTTGCCAAAGGTTTTCCTATCCAAGTTTTTGAAGAACATAAAGCCCCAGTTTCTGAGTGCAACGTGAGTCCTGATAATAAAAGGTGACCTGCCTACTACACTTTGTAAAAGGGGAGAGATGGTGTTTGTGTGATTTAAGGGTCCAATTTTACTGCATGTCCAAACATTTGGGGGAAAAAAAATCAGAAATAAACAGTTACTTTTCCAATTCCTTCATTGTTTTCCTAAATCTTATTTTATCAAATTCAAATTTTCCTTGTATTTATCCTCCACTATAAGTAGTTCTATTGTCATTTTATCTTACATGTTATGTGCCTGTACCCTTGTAGCATCTATTTACTGCTGGAGTCTTTATCTGCTGCCATTAGTCTCACCTTGGTTTTACCTACAGTTCATATTGGAGCTCTTAAATCTTTTTTACTTATGTTTTGTAAAGAAATTAATTTATTTTTATATATAAAAATATATATATAAATATAATATGGAAATAATCCAATGGATTATAGCCTATTTTGGGAAAAAAAAAAAAAAGGAAAAAACAGTCTAATACAGCTGGTGAATTATGCAGAACACATAAAAGAACAATATAGAATTAACCTAGGTTCAGAGGTCCTTCTGTTAGTGATATTTAGACCTTAGTAAAAGTTCTGTTCTATCTGTGTTGCATGTTAATATTTTACATTAAGCCTGTCCTGTCAGCTCAAGAAGAAGTGCATTTTATCTGGTGTCAATCTGTGCACACAATAATTAAAGGGACTGCTGCATATATTAACATTTGGTTAAGTAGGTCATGCAAGTGCCTCCAGGGGTGCTAGCTGGCATATTTTATCTTAAAGTCATAATTCCAATAATTTTTTATCAGGTTGGAAAGTGATTTTTTTTGGTCAATAAATAGTGGGTATGCTAAGCTGCCTCTTGCAATTGTGTATGTTTTTGAAATTGCTAAACAGCACATAGAATATCACAGTGTTGTGCTCTGCAGACTGCTTCCCAATCCAAAATACTACCAGCCCTCAGAGTGAATGTCTCCCTTTGTGTTCTATATGCCTGCTTAGGAGCAGAGGTTGTTGGCTGTAGAAAGTATATACAGATTTGGAGAAAATAAGATTTTAAATAATGTATTTATATATATTTTTTAATATATATATTTATTTATTAGTGAGAGTGTTAGTGCATGAAGTATCTTGGGCAAAGTGTATAAAAATGGCATTTTATGAACTTGGTCAAAAACCTGAAAACAAAAAGCCACAATGGTACTAAAAATATTTGGTTTATCCTGTGACATTCAGAATAAAGGTTACTTCAGGTATTTGGGAATATTTTAATAACGCTGTGGGAGATAAATTTATTTTGACCTCCTGCTTCATGGAGACCTGCCAGGTTCTGGTAGACTTGACTGAATGGCTTTGTTGTATAATGTGGCTTTGTGTCTGTGCAGAGCAGTGTCTGTGGTACAGAGTTACCCGGCAACATAACCACTGAAAATGCAAAAAGAGCTGTAGTGACAAGAGCACTTCACTGTCATTGCAGAATAGACCTCGTAATGACTTGAAAAATATTCTGAAGTTAGGAATAATTAAATATCTTATAATAGTATGAGATAAAAATGAGTTGAGGGCTTGTGTTGAAAATTAAAGTGATTATTTTTATTAATAATTTCAATCTGCAGAGTAAATAATCATTTTTAAACTAAGCTAGGCAATATTTTCAACTGCAGTGTTTAAAAAGTAATGTTCAATTAGGTTGAAGATGTCAAATGATTGTCAGAATTAAATGTTGTCGTATGTTTTCTAAATACATTCTTTTAAGTGAAAATACTGATTGCTATTTTCATCAACTATTTTTAGAGTGGTAACATCATCACATGACAACACTGTCAAGGCTTGGGATATGGAAACAGGAAAAATGCTTGTACGTATCATCTTGAATATGTTTTGCAGGAGGTGTGATTATAAAATTCAGCTTCACTGCTTTGTTACTGAGAAAGAAATAACATTTTTCTTCAGCACCATATAATGTAGTTAGGGTAGGGTAGGCTTGATACTGATTAACTGCTTAATCTCGGGTAAGTCATTTAACCTCAGTTACTGCAAATGAGAATGGGTATAGTAATAATAACCTTCCTTAAAAATACTTTTGTGATTGATTAATGTCTTAGGGTTTGGACAGGGAAGCCTTATCTAATTTTAAGTTTATTATTAGTCCAGAAATAAAAGTTGACTGAAGAATATAAATGCATTATTGGTACGTAAAATACCAAGTAAAGTCATAGCAAAAGCCTTCCTTCTGAGCTTGCTTGCAGATAACAAATGTTTATAGTAAGGCAGCTGTATTTCTAACCCTCAAGCATCTTTCTGAAAACTTTTATTTTCTTCTTTAGTGGACAATAGAACATGAAGGCATTGTAACTTCTTGTAACATTTCTTGGGATGGTAAATATGTGGTTTCTGGTTCAGACAGAGAAAATGCCATACATATTATTGATGCAGCGAATGCCACAGTGGTGGCTCATGTCCAAGGTGAGACAACATCTACGTCTTGTTTGTGCACTTCTTGATTTATCCAGCCAATTCAAGTCCAGTCAATTCAAAGTCGGATTCACATATCCTTCCTTGGCAAAGGCAAAAGAAGGTTATTTTTTCTTGTCTTTTAAGACATTAAACTCATTTTTTTTTCAGAGTAGACTTATAAAAATGAGATTATGGGTCAGAATTAGATCAACACTGATTCTCTTTTTGAAGTGTAATTCCCCTTTGGAGATGATTGTGCTAATGAGACCTCAGTTCAGTCGTGCTCCTATAGGGGACTATAGGTCAGGCACGCCTGAAGAATCAGCCCTAAACACGCAAGACATCTTATGAATGTAAAATCAGCATATGTTTAGCAGGCTTCTGAATGAATCAGTGTGAATCAGAGCCTGATAGTCAAATCATTGGGGATTAAAAATAAAATGTGCAGCAAAAGGCTCATAATAGCTCCATTAGAACTTCCTCTTTAAAATTACACTGTTAGAACATATTTTGTTTGCATTATTTTAATAGGACTATTTGTATAAGTGTAATTAGCTCCTTAACTGCTCCAAAGAGCCTAAGTAGTTAAACTGCCACTGCCATTTTGGTGTCACACATTGGGACTTATTTTGGGGAGAAAAGATTATAAGTAAATTACTATAGAGCAGCGCATATATTAGTTGTGTGTTAGCTGCCTGGGTACATGTTCTTAATTTAGACCATCTGCAGTAAATAGGAAGCACCTTCTTTCTCATTTCATCGAGAGTTAATTGAGGGAGATGCCCTAGCCAGTGCAAACCTGAATTTTGCAATTACAATGTTTGGGAGGTAGAGAATGATGCCTAGATCCTGGCCAAAGGGCAGTTCTGCCTCCCGGACCAGCACTCCGAGATCCAGAGGTAATTACTGAACAAAGAGAAGCAGCTTTGCAAACAAGTACTAATCTCGTTTGATGTTATTTGTATAGGTCATCACAAAAGTACAATCACAAGATGCTGCTTTGATCCTGATAACCAAAGAGTGACTACGGTATCATATGATAAGGCAATAAAGCTGTGGGATATGATAACTCAATCCACCTCCATTACAATTAAAGAGTAAGGAACAATAGAACAATACTGCAGTTCATTATGCACAGGATTATTTGCATCTTCTACTATTATCAGTCAGAGTGATTTCTGATAAGATTTGTAGAAGAGAAAATAAACAGTAATTGTTTAATTCTGTAAATTGTTTTACAACTTACAACTCTCCTAGAAGAGAGACATTAAAAGATCATGTCTATTTAGGCCATTGTTATCATTTTTAGAAGGAAGAATGCAACAATGGAGATCACATCAGCTGTTACAAATATTAGCGGTGGCTTTAACAACCTCAACCAATTTAGCTTCTGAATATAAAACAATAATTAGAAATAGTCTGCCCTTGAATGAAGTAAAAGAATTGTCTTTTAGAGGATTAGGAATTACTTCGGATGGAAAATTCAATCTGGAACATTTTAAACTGCAGTGCCTACTGCATTTTTTTCCTGTAAAAAATTCACATAATCTTTTCCCCATTGTAGATTTCAGATTTCTTTCCTGACAGATCTCACTGCTACCAAAGTTAGACTTTAATAGAGAATTGATTAATATTTTCCTTTGAATGATCTAAAATTTATCCGTAGCAAGAGTTGTATATTGTTCATTTAATGAGTACTGGGTGACTTTGTTGTTAATATTAATAAAATCAAATCCTGCAAAACTACCTAAACCAAGAAGACATTTAAAGTCCATGTCAGCTTTGCAGTTGTTAGTAGCTCCAGAGAGTGAACAGAAGTCTTGATGTGCTTAAAATTCAGTGTGTGCTTGGAGTGTTTTACTGAGTGGAGACGGGGTGCTCGAGGCTCGCAGGAGGATGTCCGAGGGATTTATAAGGGCTACAAAAACTCCCTAGTCCGGGGTTTTTCATCTGTATTTCAGAGGCCACACTAATGCTATCTCAGATTGCTGCTTCACCTCAGATGGTCATTACCTGTGCACAGCTTCCTGGGACAGAACCTTAAAAATATGGGATGTAAAGACAGGGGAGTTTCGATGTCATGGACCTATCTCCTTGAACCAAGGACATGAGGGTTCCATTAGTTCCTGTCTTTTTAGCCAAGATGGTGAGTTATCTTATAGAATATATGAGATGATGTATATGGTATATGAGATGAAATACAAGTGACTACTCTAACCCATATAAATAATTTTCATTTTCAAGATAACATGTTTATTTATGAAAAAATATGTTTATGTGATAAGTAAATTATAAAGTGTTAAGCCTAATTAGACAACTGGAACTCTGCTTGATTAATATACCTATTAAGAGGTATAACAAGAGATAACAAAAGAGTAAAAACACAATGTTCTGTTACAATTTTAACATAGCACTTGCCAGTATTCTCCTAACATTTAAGATTAATCAAACGTTATGTTCAATAAAAACTCACCAAGCTGTACTGTTAGGAAAATGGGTACATCTCGCATAGCCCCTCCAGAAATAGAGCTACTTCGTAACTCAAATAGTGTTTGCTCAAAATGTGGAACTTCTGAAAAAGTTTGTGGTATGTTCTCTGGTACACTGACAGAGCACAAAGAGTAGGTCCTATGTTCGAAGTAATTGATATTTATGAGTTATAGCAAGACAATTTGTCACCTGGAACTTGCTGCCTCCTTGCTGCTTATGTGGGCAGGAGGAAGAGGGTCTCTCCAGGTTACCTGTATTTGACTGGAGGCAGCTATTTTGTATGTATTTTATTGTGATAAAACAAACAGAGCCTTGTGAGGTAGGCACCTCAATGCATAAACAAACAGCAAATTTTAAAAGTCAACAAAACTTTTCTGCATTTGTCCTCACTCATTTTTGTCTTTGCTAGATTTACATTTAATATTCACAAAAACAAAGAGCAATAACAATAAAAAGCAGAAAGGAACTTCTAGTATCCTATTAAGGCAGAACTAGCAGTTCATTATTTAAATTTTATTAATATCTGACTCACTGTTGGAAGGAGCCTCTATTATTTGTCTGCATGACAGAGAAAACAAATAACACAGAATTCTGATTTTGTATTTCAGCATCCCTTGTTGTGTCTGGAGCATATGACCAAACTGTAGCCATATGGGATACAGATGCAGGCTGTAAAAAACTAAGCTTAAAGGTACTCAGTTCCTATTTGGTCACTAGTTTATTGTGAAGGTACAAAATAAGGTACTGATTAAACCCTTTGAGCAGTCATAGTGTGTGCTTTCCACCAGCATAGGTGTTTACACCTGTACAATCATGTCAAGTTTCCCAGTTCCCTGCAGCCAGTATAATTCCCCCCAAATGAGAAGGCATCTGTTTAAATGGTAGTATCTCTGTAACTATGGAGAATTGCAGTTTAGTATCTATGTCTTGGTGTAAATATATTCTGTGATCATAATTAAATTTAAAAGCACATTTTAATGATTCTGCTCTAAAAAGGCACTTACATTTCATGTGTGCATGTTTACCTTTTTCTCTGTTGGAAAAATGGTATGTTCATCTTTTATAATGCATTTCTCAGGTGAGGCATTTGTCTATAAGATGGTGCTAAGCTTTCTTAAGCTCTAGGGATTTTATGCATTAGTTCCATTAGCTGGAGTAAATACTTTCTTTGTACTGTGATTTATATCTTGTTTCTATTCTTATGGTAACTCAGTGCTGTTAACCCCCAATCAGCTCTGCAGCTGGTGTCAGGACAAGGCCCTGGGACAGAGCTTTCTAAATTGGTCTCCTGCCATAGAAATGCTCTTTTTTCTCACAGCTCTTCTCTCTACTAGCACATGATAAAGAGTCTATACACCGTTTTTCAGGTGTATATATAAGAAAACATGAGCTTCATGGCAATATTTTTCCATATCCAGACATGAGGCAGCAGGAATAGGAATTTTCTCACTGCATGTCAACAAGGATTTACAGTACAGAGAGTTGGTTTTACTATTATAAAAATAATAAAGTTTTCTTTGGGTCATAGTTAAATTGCTTTACTGCAGGGTCATTTGGACTGGGTGACAGATGTTGCAATCAGCAAAGACAAGAAATGGATTGTTTCTGCCTCAAAGGTATTTACTCATTTCTTAATATGTCCTATAGAGTTAAATTATAAATGGATTTGAAGGTTTTAACACTTTTTTTCACTATTTACTAGGAAAAAAAAAAGATAAAGTTGCTCATAAAAGTAAGCTATAATCAGCAATCATCTTGAATAATTAGAGAAATTCCTAAAAAAAGGATAATTGTGGGTTTTTTTAAATATGCATGAACAGTGTTAAGATTGCTAATTTGTTTCCAAAACAATGATAGTTAAAACAAAACCTCTAACCTGAGTTTTCCTAGAGCATGTGTATAATAACTCAAATTTTATAGGTGATAAGATTTCATTAAAATGTTGTAAATCACTGTTTTGGCAGTATACAAACATATCAAAACAATTGATGTTTTTTCTTAGGATTCTACTTTGAGGCTGTGGAACGTGGAAAAGATGGATCGTCTTCCTTCAGTGATGGAGAGCAGAAAAGCAAGAGGCTCAAAAATAGCTCAGGTTCTGTCTTTATTGTCCAAGAATGCCTCATACTTTTCATACTGAGACATTAAAATTGGATGTTAGAGGGAAGCTATCAGATTTGCAAGTTGAAAACACACATATTTTGTTCTCTCCTTGCAAAGATCTTTGAATCCTTTATTATGGGAAGGATGTGATAGTAACAGCTCCTTTTTTTCTCAGGACCAATCTTGGTAAAGAAAACGATTTTCATATGCAGGTGTGTTTTTGTTGTTAGAAAACACAGTAAGCCATGCAGGTGCAATTTTAAAACACGTTTGGACTTTTTTCATCTTATATGTCTACAAGTGGACTTATTTAGGAGTATTGTCCACAGCAGTAACATTCATGTGCGCATAGACAAAATCAGCTTACACAATTTCTGAAGGTTTTTTGGGTTTTTTTGCCTTTTTTTTTTTTCCAAAACCCAGACTGTGTGTGCCCTGGCTTCTAAGATATGAATTATAAATAGATTGATATTAGGAAAGAGGAGCATTAACAAGCTTAATGCTGTTGAAATATGCTTTTCATTATAACCCCCTCAATTGTTTTTGATAGTAGTTTTGAAAGATAACTGTGTGTTTTCCTCCCTGTCAACAGCTGCTAGGTGAAATTGAATGAGAAATAATATTTATGTGTTTTTAGTATGAATCAGTATTTTATCAGACTTTCCTATTGGTTATCAAGTTTTTCAAAAGCCACGTTCAGCTTTTTAGATGTCTAAATAAGTTTTAGAAAGGTGGCGGCAGTGAAAATAAGATGTAAGTTCCTGAAAAAGTCATTTAATAAGACAATTTAGGACCAAAACAAACAAACAAAGAAGTTTTTGAGACATTTTAACATACAGAAGTGTTAGAAAAATATGTCTTGTTATCTTTTTTTTGAAAATAGTTTTACAAGTAATGAATTGGTAACCAATGTTATGCTGAATCTAAATTACTTCAAATGTCCTGAGCAGCATTTAATCAATAGTGAAATGTCTTGCCTACAGTCACAATAGGCTAATATTTTATTCAAAATGCTTATATTTTATGGCAGTTCCTCATCCCACACCCCCTTTTTTTTTTTGTATTTTTTCCACTATGTATATTTTTATTCAAAATTACTAAGTTAGATAAGGGGATAAAGGCCAGGTGAAAAAAAAGAGTAGAGACATTAATTGTGGCTCCCAGGCATTAACACCGAAGCAGAACAGTTAAATCATCAAGTTGCTCCCAAGCTAAAGCAAGATACCGCATTAGTGAAAGCAATATCACAGTCCACATCAAATACAGCTTTAGTCAGGGAAACACGTGCACCGCAGTAGTAAATTCTGAGCAGCACTAGCTCTATATCGAGTTTATGAAAGCTGTAAGTGTGGGTACATCTGAGAAATCAGGCCTGCATCCAGGTGTGGACAAATGAGCTTTAGTGAGTCAAGTAATGTGCTGCTGACACCAGTGATTGACTGAAATATCATTTTTGTTATATTTACACTAGTGTGAAGAATGTGAGAAACCTTTCTCATACCTGCATTGCAGTGGCTCTGAAGCAATAAACAAGTGCGTGTTCTGTCGCCTCTCTTCTCCAGTGAGAAATGTTTTACCCTTGCCACCTTCTGTTCCTCCTGAACTTTAAACTTATCTGGCAGCCCTGAGATGTTTACACATTAAAATACATAAGTGGAGTGCTTACATCTTTATGTTCTGTGTGTATAAAGCCATGGATTCTCTCTGAACTTGCTCCACTTTGGTGCTGTGTATATAAAGAAATAAAATATGTTGTACTAATCTATGGGAGAGTAGTCACATATCCTTGCAATACAACAGATGAAGAATGAAACCCTTAGGAGTTGATATTTATTTGCATTGCTACAATATAAAACCGCTTCCTTGTCCCTTAGTAAACTTTAAGCAATTGTCAACTATTTAACTAACTTAAACCATTCTTTTTTACTATGGAACACGTGGAATCTGTGCTCTCAATGGCTATCACAAAGGGTTTTGTGAATAAAACTCAGAGTAAGACCATAAACTTTGCACTAATTTGTGGCTATGCCCCTTACAGAAATGATGTGGAGGAGCTTTCAGTCTTGAGAGCAAGTTGTAGCTCATGAGGCACGATAAATTCCTGCTGCATGAGAAAGGCTCATCCCAGGAAGGACCGTGGCTTTTTCACCACTCTTCTTAGCAGCATCCCGACAAGATTACATATATGGCTCTGTACTGTGAAATGTGAAAATTTGCAACCTTTTCAACATTTTTTTTTTACTAAAAGAACTTAGAATGGGAAAAATACTTGGGACTTGGCAAATGCCATCCTGAACACAGATAATCTGTGGAACAGAAGGAAATCTGTTGCAAGTAGGTAGACTTTTTATTATTATTATTTTAATTATGAGGCTTTGTAGCAGCACTTGCATTTGAATCTGAGATTGAATGAGAAGGATTTCAGAGGCATGGTGTATTTTACACAGTTTTACAACTTCTAATAAACACTAGGTAATAAGTTGCATTATTTTAGACTGTTCTCCTCTCCGTCTTTATTGAATTAAATATCACCATTTTCATGTGGAAGCTTGAGGAAGAGGTGTGCTCCTCGTGCTATTTTTTGTGGAACACACAAAATAAGCAAGTTTTACCGCGGGCGAGGCTCGTCCGCTGCAGTGGCCGATGTGGTGGCGCTGCGCGGCAGCAGGAGCCAGCGCGGGGCGCCGTGGCTTAGTTGGTTAAAGCGCCTGTCTAGTAAACAGGAGATCCTGGGTTCGAATCCCAGCGGTGCCTTTTTACTTCCCCCCATCCGCTTTTTTTTTTTTTTTTTTTTTTTTTTTTTTTTTTTTTTCCCCTTCTTCCTCCACCGTGTTTTTTTTTGCAGCCGTTTCCGCAGGGGGGCGACGCTGCCCCCTGCACATCGCGCAGCCACTCTCTGTGCCTGGCGGTGCCGCTTCCCATGGGACGCACATGTGGCACAAGGAGCTTCATCTTTTCAACACAGTTGTTGCTTTTCTGAGATTTTTCATCCATAAAGGACAAAGACTATTCCTATGTTCCTCATTTCCTGTCTCTATTTTCACCAGGCTCTCAGCGGGGTAAATGAAGCCAGTGCTTCCATTCCCTTTTCCCCTTCCCATGGTCTGAGTCGATACTGGCTACGTGGCGTATGGAATTTGTCACTTGTCATTACTGAGACTCTTCTTTTGCCTTTGTTTGTACCCAGGGGTTTTACCTCTGATCTGGGCTTCTCCAAGTGAATTCTCTCTAGTAACATCTCTGTGTAGTTTTCCGTAGAGTGAGTGAGGCAGGAGCTTGACAGCAAGTTTTTCTAGAGCTGCCTTCATGAGGTAGGTTCCTGAGCTGTGGTACTCACATCCCCTCACTCACCCGGAAAAGAGGTAAGTACAGCAGGTAGTTATAATCGGTATTTAGAAAATACTTTAAAAATTTTCTGTTTCGCTATGTTCTGTGGCTGTGTGATTTTAGCCAAACTGTGGGCCCAAGGCTGTCCAGTTTTGGTGAATTCAGCTATTGAGACTCAGTCAAGGTACTGCTGAATAGCCCTCACGTGAAGTGACCCCTCATCACTTAGCCTTTATGCAAGAAACACAGTGAAAACATTAAAATGCAGCATCTGACACTGTAGACGCTGCAGGGATTGCTCCAAGCAGCCATCCTCAGCTCCCATGCTGTGGTGACCAAGGGTTTTCCTGACACCTTAACAATTGTGCGTGGGGTCGTCTGGGGCTGGGCTCTCCACTCTCCCACGCAGAGCCCATCAACTCGAGTTTCGCACTTGGCTCCCCCGCACGCAGGAGGGACAGGGACACGTGGTGGGCAGCGGCAAAGCCCTTTGCCGCTGGCGCTGCCGCGGCCGCACACGAGGCTTCGGGTGAAGACACTTGACCGAGGCACGCGGCCGCTAACCCCGCTTGGCAGGAGCGACCCTCGGGGCCGCATTGTGCCAGGCCCGGCCGGGCGCTGCCGCTCCGGCACACGCGCCGGGATGTCACGGATCGGCCCTCGGCATCGGAGCGCTGGGGTGGGCTGCTGCGGCCTGCGCGTTTGCAAGCAAATTCTGTCTGTGTGTTTGAGAGCTCAGCTGTTTCGGCTCCGAGTGAGAACAAAGATGCTCCAAGCAGGGAGACAGGTCACCTACAAAGCAAAGTTATGTGTGAGATTTTTCCTTCCAAAAGGCTAAAATCCATAGCCAGAAAACTTAGGGGTCTGCTTAGGACCAGAGAGATAGGTGAGGCAGCTGTACCTTTTGGAGATGTTCTTTGCTCTGAAAAATATCCCTTCTTTGGTTGTATTTGGTTCACATTATCCAGGTTTCTGTCTTAAAGGTGCCCTAGCTTTCTGCGTGAGACCTGGCTTATTCCTTCTCCTCTTTTGTTAGTGCATTGACTATTTTGACGATTTGGATTTATTAGGTTATGGAGACATGACAATGGAATTTGTTTTCAGCTTAAGCTTATACTTCTGTTCCAATAGGATATGAATAAATGGAATAATAAACATGTGTGTATACATAAGCACAGTTTTTAATATCCTGTTTTTGCGGAGGGCTAATACAGGCTGGAAACCATGTGGGCTCCCCTCACAGGAGACTCATGCTGTAGGTGCTTGAGGCCACGGCTGGTGAGGAGGTGGACTTCGCCGTTAGGAACCAATTAACTTAAGCAACAGCCACTGCCAAATTATCGTGTTTGGCACCAAGAGCAAAGCCAAGAGCCTCCCCCGCTCCAAGCCACTGGGAAGGTAACGTCTGAGCTGCTGGGGAAAGAGAAGTGTCTCATTCTTCTTCTAACAGGTCCTTCCTTTCCTTCAAGCAGCTGTACTTAGGTTATGATTAAGGTTTAAATGTACACAGGTATTTTTAATTTCAACTGGTGAGGTAATCAAGGACTGACCTCACTGACGCCAACAGCAAAACTCCCACTGTCAGTGCTGAAGTCAGGTTTTCATTCAATAAAAAGCAGATAATAGAGAAGGTGATTCATTGTGAATGGAAGGAAAGATGAATCAACCCAGGCCGTGTGGGCAGAATTTTTTCCTGTGCTGTCAGCTGCAGACTGGCACAAAGACAAGGGTGGTGTTTGTATCTGCTCTTTGCTTCCCTAAGACTGAGGATGAGGATCCCTCGCACAGGCCTTGCCCAAGAGGGAGCAGAGCTGAGTTGTCGCCTAGGGAAGCTGCAGAGCTTTTCTGATGATATTTTACCACAACTAATATTGAAAATTCATATCTGAATTGTGACAAAGGTTAGAGTCACACAGCTTTTTCAGGTACCAGGATCATGTTATTTCACATTCCTTTGACCGAGGAAATTTATTCAAGATATTTCTAGCAAAGTCATTAAATGAAACTGGTTGCCATGGCCAAAGTCTGCCCTGATCTAAGACAGTGAGGACAGAGTAACCTTCACGTTCTGCTCTCATACTCTTCCCATGTGAGCTCCCCTGCCATTTCTTCTTGCCTCTCAGTCTGACAGAGGTCTGGGGAAACACAATTGGGAAGGTTTGGGCAGGATTTATGAACCAGGAGTTGCAAATGCAGGTTTTGACTGGACTGTTGAGAGCCCAAAGCTGCACTGAGTTAGCACCACGCTTAGAAAGACGCTAGTAAAACCCGTGACACTGCATTTGATGTAGCAGTCCAATTCAGTTCTCCTCCTGTAGAAATAAGAGAAGGATTTAGCCATTTCTTTTGGTACCAGCATGTTGAATCTCTGATTTAATAATTTCCGAGTGATTTCACATAAATTGATTAGACGGCTGCTGCTGGTTTCTGTATTTCAGCAGCTCTGAACATGGGGCCTTCAGGAGAGCATAAAAATAGATTTGGGGCTGTCTTGGCACCACTGGCTTCAGGCCTGACACTGATCACAGCTAGTTTGGCTGGAGAGCTATTGGTGGGCACTGTACAGTCTGCAATGGATCCAAATCTCTTAGCTCTGTATTTGTTCTTTCCTGTGGAGAACTTCAGGAAAAGTACCCAGCAATGGTCACTGGAGTGAAACTTGTCCCTGGGGAAGAGGGCATATAAATATATGGGAAATATAAATATTTCTGAAACAAGGTTAGGCTGTGGTAGTGTTAAAGTTATGAACACTTGCACATCAATATTTAGATGTCACTGATGTTTTTTGCTTTACCATTTTGCCCAGGGAGCCCTGTGCAAAGGGGCAGGAGCCCTGCTGTGCTGGAGAGCATGGTCTGCAATGCACAGAGCTCAACGTGCACACTGCAGTAAGTGCAATTTCCAGCTGGGATTGCTAGACTTCCAGTAGATCTAGAGAGATGGGATGAAATATTTAAAATTGCATGGCAGTTAGATACTTGCTCGCGTGCCTTGCTTTTGAGAAATAGGAAATGTTTGTGATTTATACCCCTGTATTGCTAAAGCAAATGGGTGCCTTGCCATTAAGTTCAGTGAATGCAGGATTGAGAACAAATCCACTAATCCTGAAATTGCAAAAGATTCCTGCAATAAGGGAAACAAGAAGAGCTGAATTTGTGATTGCCACGCCTTTGGCTATGGGAACGGATCAATGTCATGTTAGTTAAATGCAAACAATGGTATTAAATATTATTTTTTTGAATCAGTACTTTTAAGCTAGTGTAAAATATCCACATATGGCCAAAATATCCACATATGGCCACTTTTGTGGACATAACTGGTAGGAATTTTTCTTATAATTAGAACAGAATAATTTTGTGTAAGAAACATAAAAAACCACAATTGTC